GGGACAGTAACAGCCTGGCCTTTCTTACTGGCCGCAGCCGGAGGGGTTGTTTGTTGGCCGCAGCCGGAGGGGTTGTTTGTTGGCCGCAGCCGGAGGGGTTGTTTGTTGGCCGCAGCCGGAGGGGTTGTTTGTTGGCCGCAGCCGGAGGGGTTGTTTGTTGGCCGCAGCCGGAGGGGTTGTTTGTTGGCCGCAGCTGGAGGGGTTGTTTGTTGGCCGCAGCCGGAGGGGTTGTTTAGTCCTATGAGTATTATGGAGGCAGGTTGTGGAACCGGCCGTGCGCTGAGGTCGCCCTGTCGATCTTGATCTCGGTCGATGCTTTCTATTTAAATAGGAACACATAAGCGTCCATGTTTCTGTAGAAGGGACACCGCATTCAGAGGTCCGTGTTTGCGGATCTTACCACCGTTATCAAAATGGTCCGAACCTTGGGATAATTTTGCCTTCCGGCCCGTTGCCTGCTGAGTACCTGGAGATCGTCAGGGTGTCGAGCAGCTTGACGAGACTCCGCCCTGGTAAAGATGCCCGGTCCTCGATGGGGGGGGAGGCGGTGCCCCTGGTGGCAGTCGATTTCAAGCGGCGACGTTCGTCGGCCCGACCTGCGCCTGTGCCTCGACTCCCAACGAGCCCAGTGACGCCGGCGGCAGGGCACCGGATGCTACCTATGATGTGATCAGTGACCCCTGGGTCAAAACATGCTGCACGTGGATAAAATGCTGGGCTTATCGATTGACGTTTGAATCAACATAATCGGCTGATTCGTTATGAAAACTGAATGAGGCAAAATCCGACTAAACGGGTGTGAAAAACACCCAGACGACTGCTGGGCTAATAAAAGCTGTTTTCATGAATGCATTACGACGAGAGATGAACGCTCCTTTCATCAGCATTCTGTGGCGTCCGCGCGCCTCGTGAAGGGATCACGCATGGGCCGGCTGTCACTCCTCGGCGTCTTCGCTTTCGCTCGACGGCTGCAACCACGCTAATAATGAATGGACGGACATCCAAAGACGAGCTCCCACGCTTGTTTGCTGCTATTATACGCTGAGTCACAGGGAGAAAGCCACACACGCAGGTTAAACTCACTTAGCGCATTGCAGTCACGCTTGCAATATCATGCTCCCGCACATACACAGCATTGGTGTGACACTTAAGTGTAGAGTTTTTTTTTGCCGGGCAATTTAGCGTCTATCTAAACAAAGCGGGATATCACGCGGAAATTTGTAGCTCGGTCGCGAAAATCGACCGTAGCCCGCTGTCGTTTCGCGGTCGCCGCCCCCGAGCCCGCATCTCCGCCCCCCGGGGCGATCTCCCCGGTCTCGTATACATCGCTATCGGTCATATCGTCGGTGTTGAGACGTGGCTGGTCGGCGGTACGTGACCAGCACCCGGAGCGCGGTAGCCGACAGGAGCCGGCAATCAGTGCCGGGCAGCCGACCACTCCCGTCCGATGGCGCAGGCCGCCGGTCGCTCCGCTCGGCCGCGTGGGCGAGGCGGGCGCGCGCGCACCGCCGCCCCCATCCAGGCGCCAGCGCAGGCGCTCGACGCCCCCTGACCTCGCACCTGGCGGGCGGCGGCGAAATCTCAGGCGGCGCGCGCTGGTGCCCGCGCGACGTCGTATGGGCCGGGCGACTGGACGCCACGTTTGGTATCAAATGATCGTGATATTGATTGGGAGATACGGGCCGATTTATGTCGACTGGTTATGCCCGTTCTGAGTATCTTGGAGAAGGTGATCCAGGCACCGCGCGCGCTTCCGTTGAAAACAGGTGGCTCCAGGGACTTGTAAGCACTCCGCTGATCTCATTAGCACGTGATGTACGAGGGTGAGGTTCGAATATCCAGGCCCCAAATTTATCACTATCAACTAAATCACACCACGCATGCTCCACTGGAGGGGGAAGGGGGAGCATGCGGGAGCAGTGGCGGCCGTGCCGGTGCCACGCGTGGTCCTGGATCATTCCCTGCCTCGCGGTGTAGACCCTCGCCACACAGTCAGAAGGCAGCGACGTGCAGGTGGGTCTGGCGGCCGGTCGACCGGCAGCGATGCGGCCGCGTGTACGGCGTCGATGGGGTCCACTGTGGCCGGGAGTGCGGACGGCGACCCTCCAACCGCGTCCCTGTAGTCGAGCTGCGTTTCAACGTCAATTGGACTCACCGCGGTCGGGGGGGGGGGGGGGCGGACTTCAGCCCTCGTGCAGTCGAACTGCCCCCCGGCGTCGATAGGATTCACCACGGTCGGGGGTGCGGACTTTAGCTCTCGTGCAGTCGAGCTGTCCTCCGGCGTCGATAGGATTCACCACGGTCGGGGGTGCGGACTTCAACCCTCGTGCAGTCGAACTGCCCCCCGGCGTCGATAGGATTCAACATGGTCGGGGATGCGGACGGCGCAGCTGTGCCGAGCAAAATGAGCATTCCTGCCTGAATATACCGAGCACACACTACCGCATATCATACGGAGCTACACAGAGTGGTAGCATCAACCCGAAGTGTGGCTGCATCCCACAACTGGACACTGATGTGCATCCCATCAGAAGCCAGGCCTGTCTCCCACACCGGGCCGTCAGACGCCGCGGTGTCTGCCTGCCATTCGGCGTGTTAATGATACAGCCGGCGCACCCACGCCGCCTGGCGACAATGAACTCCGGCAGGGATAGAGCGAGCTGCCAGCAGTCAGATCTCCGGAGATGTCTGGCTGCTTCGGGAGCAGTCTGCCGCTTACATGAGAAGGAAAACAATGTTGCGTGCACGAGTTTGCACAGATCTGTGTCACTTTCGCTTACGTGTCACGGATTAAGCTCATGGTAAACTGACTATTTTCAGCCCTACCTTCGCTGGAGTCGTGTACTGACTCTTTCCGCTCGAACTTTTGTTTGTCATTTGGTTTCATGCTATACTCATTCGTCTCGTGTTCCGCCGCTATAGCATCGTGCAGTGATTACCGTGGGATGTTATATGACCGTCAGGAGGCAGAGGCTAGCGCATCGTCTGTTGTTTTACTTGCGTTTTATTTGGTTTGTCTGATTGATATGTGTTATGGATCAAGCTAATACCATTATGCTTCCCCGAACGAGGAACAGGCGTTCTCACATGTTATATTTGTTGGCCGCTATGGCACAATTAATGATTCATTGGCCGCTTTTTGGAACATTGAATGTGTATAGAACTTGTGTGTAGTAGTTTGTGTATGTAAAATGTAGTAAAAATGTGTATGTAGTTTTGTCGGTGGCTCTTGCACTCTTGGCTGCTCGAATTTGTATTTCGATATGCTGCTTGAACAATGTAAGATTATATACTATTTGGAGTATTCTCAAGTCTACTTTTCCCTGAATCCGGTTGCCCGGTGCTTGCTCATTTAAAAGCGGACACATATATGTGCGTGTCTCTTAAAATGGTACTCTGCGCGCAAGCAACATTTCATGCGCTTCAACCAATGACTTCTCGCTCCCCAAGTGGCGATCCTCTGCAGTGTTCTAGCCCGCAGAGCCCTGCAGTGTTCTAGCTCCTCTGGCGTGTCATCGGTCGGTGACGTAACCGCTGCGTTTCAGCCGGTGACGCGCGTTACCGCCTGACCGAGGCGCTGCTGGTCGCCGAGCGGCGTTACCTGACCTCGATCAAAGGCGTCGAGCAAATCTACGGCACGCCGCTGCGCAAGCTCAGCTCCATCAGCTCTGAGCAGCACCGCCAGCTCTTCACTGGCATCCAGCCCGTCTGCTCCGTCAGCGCCATGCTGATTATCAAGGTGAGCTGACACCCCGGCTTGGTCCAGCGCCATGCTGATCACCAAGGTGAGCTGACATCCCGGATCCGTCAGCCCTATGTTGATCACCAAGGTGAGCTGACATCCCGACTCTTTCAGCCCCATGCTGATCCCCAAGGTGAGCTGACATCCCGGCTCCGTCAGCACCATGTTGATCACCAAAATGAGCCGGCACTTCAACTCCGTCAGCGCTGTGCTGATCGCCAGAATGAGATGCAAATAAGGGTCAGATATTGTTGAGTTTCGGATTCATTTAGGTGGTACGGAGCTGTCTGTACGGCCTGGTCTTCTTAGACGGTGTTTAGTTAAACTATCGTGCAAATATATTTTGCACTTTATGCAAAATGAGTGCTGGACTCTGATTCCAACAGAAATGTCTGCCGACAAGGCAGCATAAAATTTATATGATATATCCTACCAAAGCTGCGTTTTTCGCACTTTCGCGCTGTGTTTTGGGGCCTGACGTCTGTAGACCATGCTATTACGTTGTAAGGCAAACACAGCGCAGCAACAATTGCTTTTCACCGTTTTATGGCTACATTGCGACGGATCCCCTCCCTCTTGGCTTTTTGTAGTTGGTGTCCGGAGACGCGTGGTGACTGAAGTAAAGTTAGTGACGTTGGCACGGTTAGATGCCATTTATTGGGAGATTTATCTACCGATTACTGGCAAGCATGTTCTGGAGCCTGAACTACGGCCGGCTGCTCAGTGCTGAGATGTTACTGGTTGGTGAGAAGCTCTGCTCAATGTTGGTATCAGCGGCATCCTCACCAATGGGCTCACGAGATGACCTGTCATTATGTGCCAGATAATCTCCCTATCCGCCGCTCGCAGAGGTCCCTGTCGTCAGGCGGTAGGTTCTGAGCTTATTTTTCTGGCCGCTAGATGTCACTTAATTGCCTCTCGTTCAGAAGCCGATTGTCGTTCAGCAGCGCCCTCCCCTAAACTTGTTATTTGCGTCAATCAGACAGTGTCTGATCATGTTTCTTCCTGACTGTACTCTTTGACGCCACACATATCCGATATCTCTGCGTGGGCGGTTTGGACGGCCAATTTACCGTGTTCTGACCTAGTTAGGAAGTTGTTTTCCCGGACAGTTTTTCAATAAAACGCGTTGCGATTCGCATTACTATTTCCTGTTGTGTTATGCAAAATGGAAGATGCTGCCTGTCCGCATGCATGATTCTGCTTTTGCACAGATGTAGGGTGTTAAACATTGTGTAACCGATTGTTTGCCTTCTTCAGCTGGAGTCGGCGCTAGCTAACTGGAACCAGGATGAGACTCGAGTAGGTGAGTAAGGCTCGGGCGACACGAGTCGCGTGGTTGGCAGGAAGAGGCGTGTGAGACTTCATAAAAGTATCATGATACAAGTCCTGCGGTGCACCGATAAGGCGCGGAGGCCTCGTGAAGTCATCGTTGCATCAGCACCGACCACCGAGATCTACCGTGTAAGACGCGGGCCTCCGCGAGGCGTGACACGAATCCCGTGGTTGGTAGTACGAAGCGTGGTGGCCTCATCACCAGACGGTCCAGTGCGCCTGAGCCCACAGTTGGGGATCGTAAGTCAGCCGCTCTGGTCCGAAAACAGTGCTCGCGAGAGGGTAGTGGCGTCGTCTGCGGTGTTTGTGGGAGGCTCCGATCGGGGGGGGGGGGGGGGGGGGGCAGGTCGGCCGTCTGCCAGTGACGTCGTCTGCGGTGTTTGTGGGAGGCTCTGGTCGGGGGGCAGGTCGGCCGTCACCCAGCGCGGTCGGTGCTGACGTCAGCGGCTCCAGATTGGTCGACCCCGATATAGCCACTCCCTCTTTCGGGTACTTAAAGGTTTCCGGTCTTCGCTCAGTTGTGAAATCCAGACATTCGCCTCCAAGGGGGGGGGGCTGCAAACGGGGGGGGATCAATTTGACGTCCAAAAAGCCTTACAGAATAATTTCCGAACGGCGGGGCGTAGCCGCACCTAAGTCTGCAGAGCTGTGACAACTGAACAGCAGATCTTTTTGTTCGAAAAAATAGATGTACCTTGTAAGGTCATCAACCTTTGGCAGGTCAAAATAAAGCCGTGGCTGTCAGCGAAGGCTCTTTCTAGGGAATTGTGCAATCTGATCGGACAACAGAGCATTAGACGAAACCCTTCATCTGCGAGCTAGTTACTTAGGCAATTCACCAATATGCTTTATAAGTACAACAAATTCAATTGACCGAGAGTCAGGTACGGAGATCATACTGTGGTCAAATCAATCTGCCTTTTTACTCGAGATTTTGCTGAATGGCGAAAGTTTTGCTGCTCATTTCCAATTTCTCTATAACAGGAACCACAACAGACAGCTTACGTGGACTTTTTTAAGATGAGAGCTGGTCACTGACCTAAAAGGACCCAGGTTTACCTTTTTTAGGAACGTACCGCTTAGCGTCATCCATGACACTTATTCAAAAGCAAAAATCATAACAATCTCGTAGGACTTTTGTTACCATTCCCTTCTGAAGGCCAAAGAAGGCCGCTGGTCGTAAATGAGCACCAGTGATCTTTTACTCAGAACAGGCATCCAAGTTCAAGGTTCAAGGCTGTTGCTTAAGGAAATCTGGCAGCGCTTCGGACACCAATCTGAAGTTTGGCCTTGGCTGGCTGTATTTGATCCGAAGATCACATTCTAGGAACCTCTAATTTTGACACAAGTCAGTCTACATGCAAATCATCCCGCCCTGTTAACTTGGAGTCTCTAGCTGTCTTATTTGTTTTAGATTTGAGATGGTCAAATTAACCTCCCCACACGGGCGAAGCGTATTCCACCGGCCGGCCGAGCGCGTATTGAGGGGCTCATCCCACCAGCCTTCGAACTGCGCGGACTGAACGTGGCATGATAACCTGCGTGCGACACGGAGTGCTGTGCAACGATTAATAATCCTCTGAGGGGTTTAGCAGGATTTGGCAGGATTTTCCACTTTGATTGTAAGGGAAGCCGATTAGATGCTATTTTTACGGATTCAGACCTGGGGTTTATGTAATCGCCTCTCTCCACGACAGGTGGCCTGTTTTCCAAGCAGCTGATGCGGCAGTACGAAGAATACAAGGCGTTCTACACTACGGCCAGACGGTGAGTTCGCTGCCGTCGTTTCTCATTGGACCGCCGCCAGGCTCCGTTGCTCAGAGCAGAGACCCAGCCGGCCGGCCTCCATGTGCCCTCTCCCCACGGCGATCAGAGAGCACCGACCCGTCCGCCCATCGGACTCTCCCAATTGGTGCTCTGGGCGCAGTGTGACGTGCCCCATATTAAGACCGATCCGCAGCAGCGTATGTTTATGTGAAGAGCGCAGAGCAGCGACAGAAGCGATCGCTCGGAGCGCGCCTTTGTCTTAAACGAAATGCCACCGTGCCGCGCCGCTGGGTTGAAAATGAGATCATCAAAAAGATATGCGGTGGCTGATCCAGCTTTAGTTTCCGCTTGCTCATAGTGATGTCCCGTTGCATGCCCGCTGCAAGACAGGCTCTGTCAGATCTGTGGTTTGATTGGCAACATTCCGCCAATCGTCCAGATGCACGACACCATTCATAAGCGACTTTGATATATTCGACGATTTCTTCTTGCATTATTTCCGTTCGCGGCCAAAGGCTGATGTGCTACTACTTCATTTTCTGGACGACGCATGGATATCGCAAAATATCGGCGCAAGTCATTGCGCGGTTTATCGCAGCGCGAGTCGTGTGCATCTGCTGTGATGTGCTTTCTCTGTTACCCCATCATTTCGCGGGGATAGCCAGCAAACTGACAGGTAATTCCCGCGGCTTACTACCGTACGGTGCCATAATAACGTATGTATCTCGACGCTCTACTAAGTGTTTGCCGTTGTCTGTCGCCTGTTCTCGTAATGGTGCCCGCGGTCATGAGGTACCACATCCATCGGTGACATCATATCCTATCCCCGCTCCCGTGTGGTGCCGTGTGCTGGCTGTGATTACGTGGCGCCGTTTGCTGCCAGTGGTATCGTGGGATTTCACGCGCGGTTTGCTGCCTGTGGTACATGCGGCGCTGTGTCGTGCTGCAGCGCCGGCACTGCATGACACGGCGTGCCGCCTGCAGTACCACCTGCAGTACCTACCGCCTGCAGTACCACGGTGCGGCTGCGCCTCGTGGCGCTGCGTGGCGCCGAGGTACCTTGCGTTGCCTGTGGTTCTGTCCGCTCGGGTCTCACCCGCCAGTGGGGCAGCAGCTGACAACCCTGTGTCGGCAGCTGACAGCTGACAACACTGCGGTGTGTGCCCGGCTCGCAGGCTGTACCGGCAGAAGCACGCGGAGGACGGCGAGTTCGTGGAGTTCTGCCGCCTGCGCCGGGGCGCGGCCAAGCACACGCTGGACGCCCTGCTCCACCTACCGGTCAGTATATATATATATATATATATATATATATATATATATATGTATGTATGTATGTATGTGTGTGTGTGTGTGTGTCAAAGGCATATATATAATCACATATTCCATCACAGGCATCGGACATCAGCCACCTGCTGTCATTGATATATGGATGGTTTGCGTCACGTGGGGTTTCGAGACATAACACTTGACAAGACTGGTCAATAGCGTGCTGCTTTCATGGCCAGACGATTCAAAATAGTACGACTGCGACACGGGTGGGCGGTGTCGTGGCGAGTGGGCGACGTATTTGGAACGGGCCATTCCGCGACACGGAAACCAACCACGTCTTCCTGATATAACCGCCACATACTTATCAGATTGCCCATTGTGTTCCTCGTGGGCTTTTGTGGCTCGTAAATACACTGGTTAGAACATACATCTGCAACGCAAAATGGCCCGCCGTCTCTGCAACGTGCGACGCGACGCGACATGCGACGTGGCTCGCGCGCTAACAACTATTTAACAGTTGTTCTGAAGAAAGCAGGAGTGCTCCGCACGAAGGCTATGATCTGTTACGGAAGCAGACTATTTTTCTCTGAATGTTAGTTTTTAGAAACGCTGTAGACTATCCTGGAAATATTTACAGACTATGATCTAACCCATCATTTTTTAATTCAACCACTCCAACATAATAATGCTACCTACAAACAACTTCGATATCAAGTGTAAAAAACAGAGGTAGACGCAACCAGTCTGTTTCATCAAATTCAACAATTTGGTAACTTTTTAAGTGGTATGTACGTAATTCATACATTTAAGCCGCCATCAAAACGAGAAATATTCAGTTCAATGCATTCCGGATAAGTTTCGCCGCCTCTTTATGTATCGGACTGCCCAACGCAAGGTCGCGGCAGCTTCACAGTTTGCCACAAGCTGACAAATTACTTCACGACTTCGCCCGCGGCGGGACCGCTGACCGGGCCGGACCGGACGGTGGCGCCACCTACCCGGGCGCGCCGTCCGGGGGCCGGCAGTGGCGGCGCCGGCGGCGCTGCCGGGCGCACCTGCGCCGCCGCCGGCCACCGCCGTGCACGTGGCTGTGGCCGGGAGCGGCGGTCAGCCTCGGCCGGCGGTGGCGGTGAGGCGGGCCGACGATCGGCGGCGCTGCGCTCCGCCCGCGTCCCGACCGGAGAGCGGGGGTGCGCGGGGAGGCGAGCGGTGAGAGCCGCTGCGTGAGTGCTTCACAGCTGGCTCGGGAGAGGCGGCCGGTGGGAGGGACAGGACTCCACTGCGCATACGTGTATAATGATTTTTATGCTATGCCAGCGGACGAATCACAGCAATTGTTCGGGAATCATGATACTTGGAAGCATTGGTGGTTCTCGTGACACAAGCCCAGTGCGAAATAAGTAAAGGTGAAGCCGTGGCCGCCTAAGAAAACGAGGAGAGAAGAGAGTATTGGGGATATTTACCGTGATTTTTGGGGCTTGGCCCACCCTAAACCGAAGGGTGTGCAGCGGGAAGGTTGGAATAGGAGGGGGAGGGTGGTCTGCCAACAGATCTGACCCGACTTGCGTATTTGATTTTTTTGCACACATCTGGTATTTATCTACGTATCAAGAGTTGAGCGGGCCAGCCACTTGTAACTTATCATGTGCTGGACAAACGGCTTGCCTGTCGCCTCTACAGGGCGGGCGGCGAAGGCGGAATGACCCGGGGTGAGATGCTTGCCTCCGGGGACACACCGCCATCACTATTCCACGGCTAAATCGTTTGCTATCGTGATTTCCATAGACGTTGTTTGGAATGAAGTCGTCTTGTTGATCACCTTTTTGCTGTCACATTGAACATTGTGCTTTGGTGAGAAGATCTAAATGATCGTTCCGACTTGAGCTTGCCACATTTTAGTGAAAGGCACACATAGAACATACAAAATGCTATTCGCTGCATACGCACGGCATGCCTGTCTCACGACGGTCGGACAAAATCGACGCCCGCTTCAACGATGGGAAGTGGACTCAAATGTAATGCAAGCACACTATGTCCTTTGTAGTGAATAATGTCTGTAATGGAAAACATTCTCAATTGGAGCTAGAAAAGGGCTTAAGGGACGATAACAGCATGGAGTGTGTTAGTTCATAGTCTTGTGATGCCAACTCATGGCAGATGCATTTTTATCCAAACATGGATGCGCCTTGCTCTGAGTACAGATAAACTTTGTCCACGAGCTTGCTTTTGTGAACTTGTCAGAGAAGCACAGTGTCATATGCTGCAGAACCATTATTCAAATGGAAGCAGATGATTGCACCAGACATGGCTGTGTGATACTGAGTTTTGCTGGTTGTCAGCAACCGGACACTGACATTCTGGAATGTGCCCTGTACCGGTTCATCGTATAATAAACCAGTACACAACGAGCCGTTGTAATCCAACGCCTCGTTCACCACTATCAGCGCTTCGCTATCGAGTTAGAGCCCGGCAGTTGTGTGCTGGACACATGTTTGAAGCATCGTAAGCTGCCCATGAATGCTTAACACCAGATTCCTCCGAGCTTCGTTATGTAACGCATAAACATTGCTGACGGTGTTGCACAAACATGTAGCGGTTTGCGCTTGTAATCCGTTGTGAAAGATAGCGACCTTTGCATATTATTGTACTTCTTACGAGGTTTCGCAAAATCAGGCGAGTGGCAACATCGAAGCGAAATGCAAAATAACGGTTGGAAGCAGCGGTTACTAAGATCAGTGCCACGTATACTGGTGCCCTTGACAAAGGCGCAGAGGGTAATACGCAGCTTGTGTACACACCCCAGTAACCAGTCAATGTACGATTGGATGATTATTGTTTCTTCATGGCATATGTGCCTCCACGTGGCATGCACAGCTGTATGTCTGCTGTCCACTCGAGGGCTTGCAACGGACGTCCTGTGCGCATCCGTGAGCGTTGGAGCAAAGTGAGATTTTTTGTCTACATCCGGCGTTTGCCGGAGCTCACGGTCACATTCTCCATTCGTTTATAGGCTTTAGACCATCGCATTCCGCCGGTCAGTCTTTAATCACGATATGGAGCGCAGCTCCCATATTTTCCTACTTTTCTAACAGGAATGCGCGGTTCTCACCGTTGCGCAGCCTCATGACGGGCTGTGATTATCAATAACCTCATATAGCGACGTAATAGCTGTGATGGTCAAATTACCGTCTAGCGGCCACAGGTGCAGCTGGCAATTTGTACTGGAGGAAGTCGAATATTTTGTTCACGGCAGTGTTTCACTCCTCCAACCAACTCTGATTGTGCTCTATTCTATACGTATCAGGCCATGTCTGATACGGATGGTGAATGGAAAGAGTGCCCCGAGAGCCTTAAACAGTAAGCGAACGTTGACACGTACATCACTATCTACACATCTCGCAAACATACACTTGAAAAAAATCCTGTGACTGATATGCCTGGTTTCACTGCTTACTTAAGCATACTTCCGTGATTTTCGGGCGAAGCAGCTGCCAACTGATTGAGAACTTCCGGTGGTTCGCAGCAAACCAGCGGGTACTTGACACACGTCAGGTGGGCCGTCAGTCAGCGCCGTAATCTCTGAGTGTTACCTTCCGTCGCACGCCGTGGCTTGTCAGTCAGAGTACGTCAACGTATGAGCCCCGCGCCGTGGCAGCCTCATGAATCACACGCTGTTTACTCGGCATTGTCGAACCCTCCCATTTCGGCTTTCTCCCGCGCTTACGCGTCGTCGCAAACGGCAGCGGTGGCCCCGTTCATTGTGTGAAAGTCGTCGAACAGCCACCACTCGGGCTCGTAAAGCCTATTCCCAACCTGCCTGGCCTCCTTAACACAGATGGGCAGCTGTGCGTGCCGCGCACCGCGTGGGCGCAGCTCGAGGATGGGCTGCGTGGTGTGGACACAGCTCGGCGCGGCGCGCGGTAATGACGCAGTCCGGCAGGGCGGGCTGCATGGAGACAGCCCGGGATCGTGGCCGGTGCGGGCTCGGCTCTGGCTGAGATAGACCGGTCGCAGTGCAGGGGGCGGCAGGGGGTCGGCGCATCCGCCGCGTCTGCCGCGTCTCACCCGGCGCTGACCCTACCGACCGGCGTGACCCGAGCTGCACGGCGGCCCGGCGGGCGGCGGTCCGGCGGGCGGCGGGCGGCGGTCCGGCGGGCGACGGGCGGCGGGAGGCGGGCGGCGGGCGGCGGGCGCGGCGCCGTCGGCCCGGCCGGCCTCCAGGAAGGCAGCCGCCCGCAGCCTTGAAGCTCGGGGGCTCGCACGGTTTGGCGGCAGCGGTCCGGCCCGGTGCCCGTCCGTGTCGGCTGAGCGGCTGGACGGCCGCCGCAAGTGCGTTGCACGTACAAATAGTCATTAGAACGGCCGTGGGCTAGAGTGGAGCACTTGAGCCGCGCGCGAGATAGCTCCCGCTAATCGCCCGGCGCACAGCAATTACGAGGCCGGCTAATCGCATACTATCGCCTCCCCCAGCGCCCATTAACCTATTTGACTGTGCTGTATTACATTTGGTGGCCGGCCGGCGGCGAGCGACGGCGAGCCGGACGCACTTTCAATTTGGAGCGATGGCTCTTCTGTGAAAATGCATGACGGAATGGATGGGAGCGTTCCAGGCGCGTTAAGCTACGGCTTGGCAAGTCCCGCGTGGGTGCGCGCTGACGTGAATGGCTGAAGGTGGGGAGTTAAACAGTTTGCAAGCTGAGGAGCTATTGCTTTAGGTTCGGATGCGAAAGGATAGAAAAAAGTCTGGTGTGCCGTGAAGACACGTTCATAGCTTTCACTGGCATGCCAATGCATCCACTTAAAAATATCCATTCTAATCCCCGACACGTCACCCGGCGAAACTACGCCAGGTCTGCCGGTGGAAACGGATGATATCTGATCTTAAAGTTCGGTTGGGTCATTGAAAGTTACACTAATGCAGCATTGCAGTCATTTTAAGGCACGCCATAGCGGCCGCAGCTGGCGCAATCTGGCGCCAACCTCAAT